TGGGATATAGATGAGAAAATGTTACTATGGTGCTTGGTAAATTTATCCATTTATTTTGGAATTATCCTTATTTTTTCAAGAAAAATGGTAAGGAAAAAAATGGATGATTGGAAATATTTGATAAAAAATGTTATAGTTATAATATTATATGAGATTATAAATTTATAATTTTACATAATATTATAAATATAATATTATTATTATTGGATTATGCTGACATGGCACTCCCTAAAGCTTTAAAAGATTGCCAATAATGGTGGGGAAGGTGCGGACAGGTTATGCACCCACCACCTCTAGCTGCTCTGATTCCTAGATGGTTCAACATTTGGACCAAAGGTTTAACTATAGTCAAGATCCTTCAATTTTTCATTAATAATCATTTTGTTCCTTTAACTTTAATTTTTATCATTCAACCCATCAACTTTCTAGTTTGTGTGCGTTTTGATTCTCCCAATAAGGTTAACATTGATGTGGTTAGCTGCATGTGATAACAATGTTGTTAAAGAAGTAAAATGATTGTTGAGGGCACATGTTGAGCAAATTGAAAATGAAAGGACATGGTGACATTTCTTCCTTCCTTGTAGTTATTTCCATGAAGCTTTATCCTCTCAGGGAGAAAATACATGTTTTTTTTTATTCCTTGGCCATGAGTAAAAGATGTTATATTATATTATGTTGAATGTGTGGGTGTATGTATTTTGTTTTTTTCGTTTAGTTATAACAAGGTAGAAGGCCAATTTTTAGGGGTGATTCTAGCAAATTTTTTAAAATTTTAGTATGAATTAATTATTATGACCGTTATAGATTTTTCCATATTCATATTAAATATGATTTCAGGAGAAATTAGCATCTAAATATGCAGTATAGAAGGGGAAGAAGGATTTGACCCAACACAAATCCATGGTGACTTATTACTAATAAGAGCAACTGGTGGGGTGAAAAGGGGTTAAAGGGTCTTGGTGCTGGTGTCAATACATCCAAATGGGAGCCTTCGAGGCCAATGATGATACAACAGTCTCCCCAAGTTGAGGAGTTATAACAAACTGTTCAATCACTACAAGATGACTTACAAGCATCTCAAGCTGAGTATGCTACTCTAAGTGAAAATTTACAATTCTTGTACCAGCAGCTTGGCATGATACCTCCCTCAACCAATACCGCCACTACTCGTACGACACCACATTTATAGACTCATTTTATGATATATAAGATGTTAGACATATATTTATAAATTAATGACATAATATTATTATCAACTGCCCATCATTATCTCATTGTTCTCTTATTCTATGTTCTTGTTTTTTGTGGAGAATATTAGGGTGGTTCTTATTTGTTCACTTTCTAGCATATCTTATTTTGAAGAAATTTTAATATATGTAATAACAATAATAATATTTAATAACAATAATAAATAATAATAATAATAATAATTTGAAAAAATTAAACATCCTTTATACATGGCCATAACCACATCCCATTTATATTTATATTCACTTTTTTTAGTTTTTTCTGTGCAGGGGTGAACAATCTCTAAATTGAAGGGGATATGTATTCAAACCAACAATGGTCCATATAAATATTTTCAGACCGCAAGTGGTCCGAATAAAATGTCAAAACAATCTACTCTCACAATTTTTTATTTTTTCACTTAAGAACAATACCACTAACCAAATCCCCAACTTTGTTTCTACCAAAACCACAAATATAGATGCTTAATATTGTTCATTTGTGTCACGCCCCAAAACCAGGAGCGAAACAGACGCCGTGCACTTGTAAATGAATCCCACAAATGCACAAAGCTCGGAACCTACTGTGTTCATAATTACCAATTTACATAACTTAAATCAAAAACTCGGTTAATATCTAGCTTTCCATTACCAAAATTTACTAGTCAAGATGTGCAAAAATTTATAAGACAGTCATGGCTATAACCAAGGGAAACTCAGTATACAAAAAATGATTAATCATTTTACATCTATGTCAAGCATGCATGGCTAACGGCTTAAATCCAAAAAGGATCTAAGTCCAAAATACTAACTAGCCTTCTAGCTCGTCACTTCCTCTGGTTAACGGGCCTCGGGTTTCACTTCCTGAAATGGTGGACAAGGAAAACTATGAGATAAGATATCTCAATAAGTAAAAATATGGGTAGCCCATGAGTAAAATTTAAGCATGTTTGATAAACAATTTAATCATAACAAAACGTTCAATGATAAACCGTTAATGCAGAATAAGATTCAATAATAGTCTCATCTATAAGTCAATAACAAAGCGTTCAATGATAAACCGTTCATGCAGAATAAGATTCAGTAGTAGTCTCATCTATAAGTCATGGCTAGTGTTTAACAACTCCCACTGGCAGGCATCAGTTTCAGTAATAACCAATGTATTATCCCATTGGCAGGATTACAGAATGAACTGGTCCTATCGGAATACATGTCGGCATGTGCTAGCGTTTGCAAACTCCCACTAGTGGGTGTCAGTAATCAGTGATCATGACTATATTAGAGACAAAACCATATAGGATTGACAAGAAAAATCTGTAATTCACAATCAATCTCAAATTTCAAGAATAAACCAGAAAATTCCATGTCGGCATGCTCAACCCCAAAAATAATAAAAATTTTCATTTCCATTCTAATCATGCTTAGGTGTTAATAAAATCAATTTAAACCTTACCACCATCTCAAAAACAATTTAAAATATGCTTTTACTTGAAACCGAAAGACATTACCATAATTTACTTACCTCAGTCGTATAGCACAAAAAACTCACTCCAATTGCTAGGGTGACAGAATAATCAAGAACCTAACCAAAATATTCCAGAAGTAATAACCATATGACCGGACATCTCAATTTTATTCTCAATATAAACTAAACACTTAAACCCTCCATTGTTGCCGGCCATTAATCCCATAAAGAAATCTTATTTCTTTCTTTATTTATTTATTTATCCTTATTTTTCTTTTATCCGAAATTTAAGCACAAAAAAACAAATCAGATTGTGCATTTATATATATACATAAACACACATATACAAAATTCTCCAAATTCACGGACAACATGGAGGAACCGGCTTTGGCAAAACAATAGCTAATTTCACGGGATTTTTCTCTAAAACCTCACAGCAGCCAATTAATACTCAATCACATAAATTCTACTTGAATTAATGCTTAAATTTGTTCTAATTACTACAAGAATTCATCCCCCTATTTCAATAGAAATCTGGACAGCATAGGGGCGGCAATTAATGGATAAATTCAGCAACTAATGGGTAATTTTGGACTTAGATGGAGTTGTCATATACCAGAAAATTCAGCAAGCAAAACCAGAGCTGCGGGTTGGGGGAAGCCGACGGAAATTGAAGGAGAAATTAAGGGATCTACCGAAAATTGGGAGAAACCAAAAGAAATTAAAGTAAACCCAAGCCAAATCAAGGGAGAAAAGAGGAATTAGTGGCTGTTTCCATACCAGAAACCTGAAGAATTCAAGCCCACAAACCAAGAGCAGCGGACGGAGGGGAAGGAACAGAGCAGATCTGAAATTTTCTGCAAAGGGGAAGATTTTCTAAGTTCTAAATCTTGTTCTTGAACAAGAAAGAAGAAAAAAAGAATCAAGCTTTTACCGTTTCTCAAAAGGGTGGGTGTGTTGGTGGCTTGGGCTTCTTGGTCGGCTGTAGGGGAGAAGAAGAAGAGCAGAACACGCGGCTAAGGAAGAAAGAAAGAAAGAAAAAAATCAGTCATCCTTATCCTAATTTTTTTCTCTTTTAAGTCCCTCAAATTTGAAAATTCTATGATTAAGCTCAACAATATTATTTTCTCACAATTAGGTCTCTAGCTCATACTTAAATGTTCTAGAAATTTTTGGGATATTACATCCACCCCTCCTAAAAAGGAGTTTAGTCCCCTAAACTCATACCTCAATATTGGAAGAGGTGCGGATGTTCCTGCCTCATCTTGGATTCCAACTCCCAAGTAGCTTCTTCAATCAAATGGTTATCCCAGAGGACCTTAATAAAATGAATAGTCATTCTCCGCATTACCCTTTCCTTGAAAACTAAAATATGGATCGGGTGCTTATCATAGGTGAGATCTTCTCGAAGCTGAATGGGTTCGGGATCAATGATGTGGCTCGGGTCGGGAATATATTTCCGAAATAAAGACACATGGAACACATCATCAAAACCCGCTAAATTTCTAGGCAACTCTAAACAGTAAGCTACCTCGCCAACCCTTTCCAGGATAGGATATGGTCCAATATACCTCGGACTCAATTTTCCCCTAATGCCAAACCTAAGGACACCTCGAGTGGGTGACACCTTCAAAAATACATGGTCACCGACTTCAAACTCAAGGTCTTGTCTCCTTCTATCCACATAGCTTTTCTACCTGCTCTATGCAGCACGAAGGCGTTCCTTGATCAATTGCACAATCTTAGAAGATTGCTGCACCAATTTTGGACCTAAAATGCTTCTCTCACCTACCTCTGCCCAGCAAACAGGTGATCTACACCTTCGACCATACAAAGCCTCAAACGGTGCCATGCGGATGCTGGACTAGTAACTATGATTATAGGCAAATTCAACCATGGATAACTGTTGATCCCATGAACCCTTCCAATCTAAAATGCAAGCCCTCAACATGTCCTCAAGTATCTGAATAGTTCTCTTAGATTGCCCATCAGTTTGAGGATGGAAAGCCGTGCTAAAATTTAATTGAGTACCAAGCGCCTGCTGCAAGCTTGTCTAGAAATGAGATAAGAATCTTGTATCTCTATCTGACACAATAGACACAGGGACTCCATGCAGCCTAACTATCTCATTCATGTACATATTGGCCGGCTTCTCAATGGATGCGCCAGTCTGGTAAGATAAGAAATGTGCTGACTTGGTCAATCGATCAACGATGACCCAGATGGAATCATCTCCCTTTAAGGTTCGCGTTAAACCTGTCACAAAGTCCATGGTGATATTCTCCCACTTCCATTGGGGAATAGGTAATGGCTGTAGCTTCCCAGGAAGTCTTTGGTGTTCAGCCTTGACTTTCTGGCAAGTCAGGCATTGTGAGACAAATTTAGCTATCTCCCTCTTCATATTCCGCCACCAAAATGTACTACGCAAGTCACGATACATCTTGGTGCTACCTGGGTGAACTTTGTAACTAGTATTATGGGCATCTCTCATAATTTCACGCCTTAAAGCATGATCTCTTGGTACACACAGCCTATCACCAAACCATAGAGTCTCATCGTCAAAAACTCTGAATTCTTGCATGTGGGGTTCCCCCGTTTTTACTTTTTCCTTCAACCTTTGTAAGAAAGGATCTTTTTGTTAGGCAACTTTAATTCTATCAATTAATGTCGGTTGTGCATTGAGAGCAGCTAGATAAACTATAGTATTGTCCACTCTCAACTCCACATCTAGTTTCACAAGGTCCTCAAGAATCTCCTTCTGGGTGGCAAGGATGCTAGAGGTAGTGCTAGAGGACTTCCTACTCAACGCATCTGCTACTTTGTTGGCTTTGCCTGGATGGTAGCTAATAGTCAAGTCATAATCTTCAAAAGTTCAAGCCATCGCCTCTGCCTCATGTTAAGCTCTTTTTAAGTGAAAATATACTTGAGACTTTTGTGATCGGTGAAAATTTCATAGGTCTCATCGTATAGATAATGCCTCCAGATCTTGAGTGCAAATATCATAGTTGCCTCCAGATTATGGGTAGGGTAATTTTCTTCATAAGGCTTTAACTGCCGTGAAGCATATGCAATAACCTTATCTTTCTGCATCAAGACACATCCCAAACCCTTTTTAGAGGCATCACTATATATAGTGAATCCTTCCCCATTGATGGGAAGTGCGAGTACAGGAGTAGTGACTAGTTTCTCTTTAAGGGTCAAAAAGCTCTTCTCACACTTTGGAGTCCACTCAAATTTGATGTCCTTCCTGATCAGACGAGTCATTGGCAGAGCAATTATAGAGAAATCCCCCACAAATCGACGGTAATAACCAGCCAATCCAAAAAAACTACGGACTTTTGCAACACTATTCGGCCTTTTCCAATCCACCACGGCCTCAATCTTCTAGGGGTCAACGGAGATTCCATCCTTAGTCACAACATGACCTAGGAATGCAACATTATCTAGCCAAAATTCACACTTCTTAAATTAGCAAATAGCCTCTCACTTCTCAATGTCTCGAGAACTGTCCTTAAGTGCTTTTCATGAAGAGCATGGCTAGAAGAGTAAATCAAAATGTCATCAATAAAGACAACCACAAACTTATCTAGGTACTTGCTAAATACCCGATTCATCAAATCCATAAATCTTGCAGGGGCATTTGTTAAGCCAAAAGGCATAACTAGGAATTCATAGTGACCATAACGAGTACGGAAGGCAGTCTTTGGCACATCATCAGGTTTAATCTTCAACTGATGGTAGCCATATCGGAGATCAATCTTAGAAACACTTGGGCACCCTTAAGCTGATTAAACAAGTCATCAATTTTAGGAAGGGGATATCGGTTCTTCATAGTCACCTTATTCAATTCTCGATAATCTATACACAGTCTCATGCTCCTATCCTTCTTTTTAACAAACAACACTAGAGCTCCCCAAGTTGACACACTAGGTCGTATAAACCCTCTCAAGGAGTTCCTCCAGCTAGACCTTTAACTCTTTCAACTCCGTAGGAGCCATACGGTACAGGGCTTTGGAAATTGGTCTAGTGCCAGGAACAAGATCAACAGGAAATTCAATCTCCCTATCTGGAGGTAAACTTGGAAGATCCTCCGAAAATACATCCGGAAACTCACACACCACAGGGATGTCTTCTTGTCTCAACGTCAGACTACTAGCATCGGTGACAAAAACTAAGAAACCCTGGCAACCATTTATAAGATATTTCTAAGCCTACAAGCCGATATCAGCATGGGTGGAACAAAGGAACCACTGCCTTGGAAACTAAATTCTGGCTCCCCAAGAATATTAAAAATCACCCATTTACGGTTGCAGTCTATAGAGGCAAAACATTTTGACAGCCAATTCATCCCCAAAATGATGTCAAAATCAAAGATATCTAAAATAAACAGGCTAGCACTCAATTGTCTACCATCAATATAAATATCTACAGTCTTACACACATCTCTAGTAGTCATCACCCGTCCTAAAGGGGTGTCCACATGGAGTTCAAAATCGGAGGTATTAATAGGTAAGGCTCATTTTAAAGCATAAGATCGAGCTATAAAAGAGTGTGATGCACCCAAATCAAATAAAACATGTGCATAATCAAATTGACATGTAAAGTACTTGTGATTACATCGGTAGCCGCAGCTTCCTTGTGAGTCATCACGTGCACTTTCGCCTGCTGGGCTCTTGTCCTAACCCTGACATTCTGTTTCTGTGCCCCCTGATTAGTAGAACCCTGCTGAGATGTAGATTGAGTACTCTAAGCTCTAGGGTCTGGCTGTGCGCAATTAGCAACCCAATGTCCCTGCTTGCCACATCTAAAGCAAGCCCCAGTATTAATGTGACACTAGTCGCAAGTGTGCCCAACTCTTCCACAAGTGGGGCAAATAAGTGGAGCAGGATGAGTACGCTAGGCTGCTGATGCCTGACCCATAGTCTTGGCAACCTTTAGCTCTTTAGAACCCTTTCCAGTATCAAACTTAGGTGGTGCAGAGATAAAAGGTCTACAGCTCCCATCAAATTTTCTCTTCCCAAAGGATGACCCCACTTTTTGTGGATCTGGTGTCTTGACTCTAGCCATAGCCTTCTCCTAATCTATGGCTCTGTCTGCCGCCTCTCTATAAGTGGCGTGTTTGAATTGATTCACTGCCAGATAGATGTCAGGATTCAAGCCCCATAAAAATCTATCAGTTTTGGCTTGCTCATCCCCGACTTGACTACCCAAAAAAGGCAGATAGCGGTCAAACTCCTTTTTGTATTGCTTAATAGTACAGGACCCTTGTTTAAGATTTGGGAATTCCCTTTGCAACTTACGCCTTTTGCTGTTGGGTATGTATTCTCGCATGAACACCTTTTTAAAACCATCTCAGGTGCTCAATTCATGCTCTCCTTGGTGTAGCTTCAAGTAACTCTCTCACCAAGTCAACGCTTCACCCGTAAGGATATAACTGCCCACATCGACCTTAAGGTCATCAAAAATCTTCAGTAGGCAAAATTCGCTCTCCACCTTGGTAATCCATGACCCCACCTACTCAAAACCCGCGGTACCATCAAATTTCTTGGTCACCACCTTTTGGAATTTTGTATAGACCTTCCAGCTAGGCACAATAGGAGCAGAAGATATAGGAGCAGGAGAAATAGGAGTAGGGGCCATAGGAGTGGAAACTACTGGGGATGGAGGTGGCACACTCATGGCAGAAGATGCTTGGTGTCTCATCTCTACCATAAATTCCTGAACAAAAGTGGCCATTTGAGTGTTACTCGTCCCTCCCTCCTAAGGAGCAACTTGGGCAAAGGGGCTAGCAGCTGGGATTGAAGGAGTGCCTTGATCTTTATGGCCACCCCTCGGGCGCCCACGCCGTTTTGGAGCCATCTATAACCACATAGAAGGTTCATAGACTATTAATCAAGTGCCCCAAATTAGAATTTCCCAGCAAGTTTCCATTTCTGAGACCAAAACCTAATAATTAAAATCCAACACACATTAAAGAAAGGATCAAACAAGTGCCCTTAATCAACCCCACTCTCATGCCTCACCACGTTTCTATAATCCATTAGCTAGCCAAGTTCTAAATAAATCTTAGGTATTTAATTTAAACCTAAGCTCTAATACCACAAAATCTGTCACGCCCCAAAACGAGGAGCAAAACAAACGCTGTGCACTCATGAACAAGTCCCACAAATGTACAAGGCTTAGAACCTACTGTGTTCATAATTACCAATTTACATAACTTAAATCAAAAACTTGATTAATATCTAGCTTTCCATTACCAAAATTTACTAGTCAAGATGTACAAAAGTTTATAAGACAGTTATGGCTATAACCAAGGGAAACACAGTATACAAAAATGATTAATCATTTTATATCTATGTCAAGCATGTGTGACTAACGGCTTAAGTCCAAAAAGGATCTAAGTCCAAAATACTGACTAGCCTTTTAGCTCGTCAGTTCCCCTGGTTAACCAAGCCTCGGGTTTCACTTCCTGAAATGGTGAACAAGGAAAACTATAAGATAAGATATCTCAATAAGTAAAATATGGGTAGCCCATGAGTAAAATTTAAGCATGCCTGATAAACAATTTAATCATAATAAAACGTTCAATGATAAACTGTTAATACAGAATAAGATTCAGTAGTAGTAGTCTCATCTATAAGTCAATAACAAAGCATTCAATAATAAACCGTTAATGCAGAATAAGATTCAGTAGTAGTCTTATCTATAAGTCATGGCCAGTGTTTAACAACTCCCACTGGCAGGCGTTAGTTTCAATAATAACCAATGTATTATCCCATTGGCAAGATTACAGAATGAACTAGTCCTATCGATATGCATGTCGACATGTGCTAGCGTTTGCAAACTCCCACTAGCGAGCGTCAGTAATCAGTAATCATGACTATATTAGAGATAAAACCATGTAGGATTTACAGGAAAAATCTGTAATTCACAATCAATCTCAAATTTCAAGAATAAACCAGAAAATTCCATGTCGGCATGCTCAACCCCAAAAATAATAAAAATTTTCATTTCCACTCTAATCATGCTTAGGTGTTAATAAAATCAATTTAACCTTGCCACCATCTCAAAAATAATTTAAAATATGCTTTTACTTGAAACCGAAGGACATTACCATAATTTACTTACCTCAATCGTATAACACAGAATACTCACTCCAAGTGCTAGTGTGACAGAATAATCAAGAACCTAATCAAAATATTCCAAAATTAATAACCATATGACTGGACATCTCAATTTTATTCTGAATAAAAACTAAACATTTAAACCCTCCTATTGTTGTCGGCCATTAATCCCATAAAGAAATCTTATTTATTTATTTATTTATTTATCCTTATTTTTCTTCTATCTGAAATTTGAGCACAAAAAAAAATCAGATTGTGCATTTACATATATACATAAACACATATACAAAATTCTCCAAATTCACGGACAACATGAAGGAACTGGCTTTGGCAAAACAATAGCTATTTCATGGGATTTTTCTCTAGAACCTCACAGCAGCCAATTAATCCTCAATCACATAAATTCTACTTGAATTAATGCTTAAATTTGTTCTAATTGCTACCGGAATTCATCCCCCTATTTCAACAGAAATTCGGACAGCACAGGGGCGGCAATTAATGGATAAATTCAACAACTAATGGGTGATTTTGGACTTAGATGGAGCTGTCACATACCAGAAAATTCAGCAAGCAAAACCGGAGCGGTGGGTTGGGGGAAGCCGACGGAAATTGAAGGAGAAATTAGGGGATCTACCGGAAATTGGGAGAAACCAAAAGAAATTAGAGTAAATCCAAGCCAAATCAAGGGAGAAAAGAGGAATTAGTGGCTGTTTCCTTACCAAAAACCTGAAGAATTCACACCCACAAACCAAGAGCAACGGATGGAGGGGAAGGAACAGAGCAGATCTGAAATATTCTGCGAGGGGGAAGATTTCTAAGTTCTAAATCTTATTCTTGAACAAGAAAGAAGGAAAAAAAAAATCAAGCTTTTACCGTTTCTCAAGAGGGTGGGTGTGTTAGTTGCCTGGGCTTCTTGTTCGGCTGTAACTCTGTAAGGGAGAAGAAGAAGAGCAAAACGCGCGGCTGAGGAAGAAAGAAAGAAAGAAAAAAATCAGCCATCCTTATCCTAATTCTTTTTTCTTTTAAGTCCCTCAAATTTGAAAATTCTATGATTAAGCTCAACAATATTATTTTCTCACAATTAGGTCCCTAACTCATACTTAAATGTTCTAGAAATTTTTGGGGTATTACAATTTGAGAGAGAGACTCTATGGCACTTAAGACTTTTAGAGCATGTTGTTTGAATGGGAATAAAATGAATCATGTACCGTTTGACACGTAAAAGGGAAAAAAAAAAAATCCTACAGTACATATTAGGACCACCACTAACCAAATCCCTAACTCCGTTTCTACCAAAACCACAAACGTATATGCTTAATATTGTTCATTTAAGAGTGAGATTCTATGGCATTCAACATTTTTAGAGCATGTTGTTTGAATGGGAATAATATGAATCATGTAAGGTTTGACACGTAAAAGAAAAAAAAAAAAAAAAAGGAATTTTACTGCACATACTTGAACCACTATTGGCCTGCAAAACATATTCGAACCAACAGTGGTCCAAATATGTTATTTAGATTCTAGAAAATTCTGCTCTAAGACTTTTTCATTCTTTTCATTTAAAGACAATACCACTAACCAAAGCCCATCTTTATTTCTACCAAAACCACAAACATATACACTTAATATTGTTCATTTAAGAGTGAGACTCTATTGCATTCAAGACTTTTAGAGCATGTTATTTGAATAGTAATAAAACGAATCATGCACAGTTTAAGGTGTAAAAGAAAGAAAAAAAACAAAGAATCCTACTACACACATTCAAACCACTAATGGTTTGAAAAATATATTCGAACCAACAATGATCCGAATATCTTATGCAGAATCTAGAAGCTTCTGCTATGAGAGTTTTTCATTCTTTTCATTTAAGGACAATCCGACCGAAACGAGCGCCGATTCTGTTTCTACCAAAACGAAATGCATACATTTCACTACTATAGTCGCTCATAACCCCAACACAATAAGTTAATCGCTAGAAATGGCTTCACAGTGGCGGAACACAACATCATTGCAAAACTGCAAAATGCGTAGAGTTAACATCATTACTTTTAAGGTTATGCGACGCCATTCTTACATCGCGAACATGTAGGATTGGTATTGCTAATTTTAAGGCTAAATTCTATGGCAATAAAGACTTTTAAAGCATGTTGGTTAAATATGAGTAGAATGAATCTTGCATGGTTTGGGGAAAAAAAAAAAAAAAAAAAGGGCATCCTACTGCACATATTAGGACCACTATTGGTTTGGAAATCAAATTCAGACCAATAGTGGTTCAAATATGTTGCCCAAAAGCTAGAATCTTCTACTGTAAGACATTTTCATTCTATTCATTTAAGGGCAATCTGAACTAAATGAGCCCCAATTCCATTTCCACTAAAACTAGATGCATGCATTTCACTACTATAGTTGTTCTTAACCCCAACATGATAAATTAATTGCTCAAAATGGCTTCACGGTGGTGCAATGCAACATCAGTGGAAAACCGCAAGCGCGTAGAGTTAATATCATTACTTTTAAGCTTATGCCACACCATTTTGAAATAGTAAACATGTACGCTTATTATTGTTAATTTGAAGGTTAGATTCTATGGCATTCAAGACTTTTAAAGCATGTTGCTTAAACAGGAGCAGAACGAATTTTGCACAGTTTGGGAAAAAAAAAATTCTACAGCATATATTCGAACCACTGTTAAAAATGTATTCGGACAAACAATGGTCCGAATATAGCATTCCTTTTTTTTTTTGGTGTTATTTTTTATTAAATATTTTTCATATTGCTATGCTTTTTGAGGTTTAAATATTCAAACCAACTTTGGTCTGAACATTTTGTCGCCTTTTCTGCGAAAGTTTTAAAGGCAAAAATTTTAAAATTTTTGACAATTTCCAAACCAATAACGGACTGAAATAATTAATAGCCAAAAAAATTTACCCTCATTCAAAATTTTTATGTTGATCACCAAATTTCTATTTAATATATTCCAGACCAATTATGGTCGAAAATATATTTGCCTATATATTTCCATGCCTGCTGCCCTTTTCACTAGTTTTTCTTGTCTACCATTATTTTGCTATCCTTCTTCTCCGCCCTATTTTCGATCTGGTTTCCCTCTCTTCTTTCACTCGTGCTTCTACTATCTCTTCTTTGCCTCATCTTTGTGTTCCTCTTCTAATTTCCTATGCCTTTGTTCCCTTCTTCTTTTCAATTTTGTCAAGTCCTCTTTCTTCTTGTTTTGTTCTCTTTCCTTCCCTCTTATTTCTTCCATTTTTTACTATATTTCTTGTTTTTATGTTTATAATTTTATATTTTGTTTTTGTTTGCTAATTTGTGATATTAGTTGTATTTAATTTTATTTTCCCTTGTTTTACCAACTTTTTTTTTTGTAGGTTATTTTGAAAAATTGGTAAATCTTAAACTTTGCTTCTATACATATATATATTTGTTATCTTTTAATGCCTTTTTTATTTCCATTTTATCTTACTAATTCAATTTCATTTATTTTTTTAGGAAATGATTAAATTTATAAGATATTAAAAAAAAGGTTTGAGTACTTTTTTATATTATAGATTTTATTAATTTTCTTTGAAATTATATTTTAGCAATTATATTTCAAATATTATGGGGTTTTTTTACTTTTAATTTTGTTTATGTTGTAGATTTTATTTTGTATTTAAGAAATATTATATAATATAAT